GAATTAGAATGTTACAAGGTCGGTATCTGGGGTGGATAAGAGGAACGGCAAACACCCTGCTGTCTGGAAAGAATGGGTGGCTGACATCTATCTGCCTGGCAAAGGGGGAGGAGGAAAGAGGGACACGAAGAGGCATGGGAGGAGGGGGGGGTAAATGTAATTTAGCCTCCGTGATCTCCACAGGGGCCCGTGCAAAGGTAACCCCCACCCATCAACCCAAATACACATGGGATATAGTCGGGGGTGCACAGGGAATAAGAATCAGGGTGTGGAAAGGTTATTATCCTGGTGTAATCTTGATAATAAAAAAAAATGGGGGATGGGTTTTTAGAGATAGTTAATACCAGATCAATAGAACAAAACACTCATTTTTGTTCAGTAAAAACTCCCACCACATGAGCTCATTCCCCCCACCTAAAGGAAAACAGTTATTTGGATACACTCATATTCATCCGAGAAGAGATGATTTCACTCCTACTGCTGTGGTTTTCAATTTCAGGTTAAACAAATCTACCAGTCAGGCTAAAAATACTTAGTCTTGACAGATGTGTGTGTGTGTCTGCGTAATGCGCATGTGTGTATGTGACTATGTGTTGGCTAACCATTCGTCAGCCATATGGAAATGTCACAGAGTAATCATAAACAATTATCCACCCCAGCTCTCAAAGCTTCAGAATAGGGCAAATTTACATAAAGAGACACAAAGGCTCTGTCACTTACATACAAAAGAACAGACCCCCTGAAGCTTAGCACACACTTAAAATGTATCAGAAACTAAATGTTGATGCTTTTCTAACACCCTCGTTTCATATCCTTGATTCTTCATAACTTACATGGATGCTTAAAGACTCTTAGCATCTGGTATGCAAATGGGCTGCTTTAAAGCTGGTGGCAGGTTGTTTGAAAACAGAGGATCACAAGAAGGCTGTGTAATGATATTTTTTCCCTATTGGAAGTAGACATAAACCAGCTGTAGATCAATTTAAACCAGGCTTTCTACTCAGTGATAAATCAAAGTCCTGGACACAGACAGATCTGGGAATGGTTAATGGATGCTATGGCAGACGTACAGCCAACACAGGATGAATCCACTGTAGACTGGATGAGGAGTGGGAAAATGGAGGAGGGGGGTGACTTTGAAGCAGCGGGAAGGGGGGCTGGTGAGATGGTTGGTGGAGACCAGGAGGGTAATGGGGCAGCTGCTTGTTTGATGGTAATGATTGCCAATCAACAGACAAATAATGTGATTCTGCTGCCATGGAATAAGCCTCTTACAGGAAGTCCAGCTATCCGAGGGCTAGGGATGTTAACAGAAGGACTAACAACTTCATAGGCTTTCAGCTAAAATGTAGAGTGATTGTGCGGATTGTAATTTGACTACACTATTCGGTAAGGGGATATACATATGTGGCATTTTCTCGTTTTACAGCATCATTAAAATATTTTTGTTGACAGTTTGCATCATGCAGACTGTGCATTTGCCAGTAAGCTTTTAAAAGCCTGTTGCTTACTCCAGCCATCGGTGTAATTGCCTCACGTCACTAGATGGCAGTAAAGTCAAGAGGTAAAATCTGTCAAATGGAAACAAATTGACAGACAAGTCCTGTGGCTGAAGGTCATAAGGTCATTGAGATCACCGCTGCTGCTCGGAGAATGCTGTTTATTTTAAATAATATAGCCTTTGTTCCAGTTGCAATTCACAACAATTCATTTTTTGTTCATATTCTCCCCGTGACCAGGTCTCATTTTGGACCACCCCCCAAGTATTTTCAAGACACTAGATAGCAAGCTTCCCTGCTTCTTGACACCACTGCTGTGTGATAAAGCACCAGATGGTGGGTTGCTATCTCAATATTTCTTGATAGTGCCCATGATGGAAGTGGCCACGAGTAAGCTCCAAAAAGGTGGAGTCCAACTACTGTGTTGCAAAAGACCCTATAGAGGCTTCCCCAAGGAGTTTCAGGAAGGTGAAGATATCCATATTAATCTGTTTCTCAGCTTTTGCTCAATGTACATTCATTGATGCAGTTTAGATCATTTGGCTAATTTCACGGTCCAATATCCAAGAGCCCATTTGAAGATTTAAGATTTAAGTCAATACAGCAACACAGCACAGAGCAGCTATCTAAACTCTGCATCCTCACTGTGGATGATGGATACAGCGGCTCCTTTTGAAAAATAAGTGCTTGACTCCGAATTATAACTCACAAACGCACATCTTAAAGCAGAGAATTCATAAGTTGAAGAGGAAATTACGTCTCATTAATATTGATCTATTTTTTAAAATTAAGCAAGCTTACTATTCATCTCTGAATGAAGAAAATAAGAACAACCCCAGCTTACTTCTTTTCACTGTAGCCAGGCTGACAAGAGTCAGAGCTCCACTGACTCTTCCATTAGTCCATTAACCTTAACTAGTAACAACTTAATGAATTTCTTCACAAATAAAATTTTAACCATCAGCGTATAGAAACAGCTTTAGTTAAGAGTTGTGCCTCATCACATGAAGGTGTGGGTCATCATCAGCAGAGGTTTCGAGTGAAACCATTGTGAGACCTTCCCTCAACCTATTGTGTGAGATGTGACGTTAAGGCGCCTGGGAAGGGATCTCAAAACTGCACTGTAGGTGGCAGACAGTTGGTGTCGTGAGCCATCTCCTGTGTTCACGGATAGTCGTTCACAGTGGACATAGATGACTTCTTCCCCTCCTCTTTCAAACCATCGGTCTTCTCTGTCTGAAACGTGAACATTGGCGACCTCGAAAGAGTGACCTTTATCCTTTAGATGCAGATGTACAGCTGAGTCTTGTCCTGTCGAGGTGATTCTTCTATGTACCATGCATTTATGCAGTGGCTGTTTGGTTTCTCCAGGGTAGAGGTCTAAGCATTCGTCGCTGCAGTGCACACCATATACCATGTTGTTTACATTGTGGTTGGGAGTTTTGTCTTTGGGATGAACAAGTTTTTATCTTTTTATTGTGTGGATGGGTCTGAAGTGCACTTGGATGTCGTGCTTGTAGATGCCACGCTTATGAGCCATGCTTTAGTGCTAAATTTATACTCTTCTTATGGACACTGACCGTGGACTTATTTCTGTGCTTGTACTCCAGCTGCAGTATTCGATACTATCGACTATAATATTCTATTACAGAGCAGTTGTTTGAATCACATTTACCTAATAGACTACAATTTGTTCATGTAAATGGGTAGACTTCTTTACACAGTAATATTAATAAGTTCCTTAGTAATATTAATGTTTAGTTCTCTAGCTTCCCTTTGGCAGTATCATGAGAAGCCATATCATAAATTTTCATTGCTATGCAGATGACCCAACTTTTTCAAACCATGAAGCCAGATGAGACACATCAGTTAGCTAAACTGCAGGAATGTCTTAAAGACATAAAGACCTTGTTAACCTCCAATTCCTGCTTCTAAAAATGAAAAAAGTTATTGACAATTAATGGCATTACTTGCCCTCAAATAACACTTCGAGGAATTTTGAACTCTGTTCTGGTCATTGACTTCTCTTCATTGGTTCCCTGTTAAATCCAGAAAGAAATTTTAAATCCTTCATTGAATCCTGTTTCTGGGAGAGGTTTTTTCCTGATAAAAATGACTTTTTCTTTCCCACTGGGCTTGTGGGAAAGAAATAGGCTTGTCTGTTTGTAGGGTTTCTACCTTATAATATAATGCACCTTGGGATGACTGGTGTTATTTAGTGGTATATAAATAAAATTGAATCTATCATGTTAACAACTTATTTTATTAACTATGATCCAGTAGCTACTTATTGTCTATTAACTAGCACTTATTAAAATTATCTCAATACAAACTTGACCTTTTTACATATCTGAGTTTTTAGAAGCCTCACCAAAGTGATTTTGATAGCCAAACTGAAAATGGTACACGGTTTTTATTATGTGGTATTGTTATGAGCTGAATCAGAAATCAGAAATTATGCAGCAATTAAGACTCAAGACAGTGTTTGTTATGGAGTACTGAATTTAAATGCATTCACAGCATGACAAGGCAATGACATTTTAAGCCTGAAAACAGATAGTTATTTATTCATTCATTATTTCCTGCAGCTTGAGTTCCATACTTTCACTAAAAGGAAAAAAAAATATTACATAGCGATAAAGAAAGAGTCTGTTAGTACAAATCTGTTTCTTAAATACAAAAAAAACATTTGCAATACTGTCAGAAAAGAGCATAATTTTAGAAGTATATTGAGACTTAGCAGAACCAGTACAAATCAGAATAGTATAATTTTGTGCATCATGATATTGACATTGTAAAACAGCAGGATTATATAACTTGGCATTCAAATCAGAAAGCAATAAGAATCTGACTGTATATGCAATTTTCTGTCCAGTTAGTTACAGTACAATGTACACTGTGCACAGCAAGTAAAAATGAATATGTTATATATATATATATATATATATATATATTCTCTACAAGTTGTCTATATTTATAATATTCCTACCAAGAAGTTAAGCCATATCGTGCATGATATCGTCGCTTAGACTGCTGTAAAAGCTGCTTGTTCCTGTACAATCAATTAAGATATTTACAATTTCAACAAATATTCTACATGTCTTTAAAAAAATAAAACTTGATGCAAGTTAAGAAAAACTAAATCTTGATCCCATCCAAAGGCCCTCAAGAGCAGTTAGTAAATGTGAACAACCTTTGCTTAATAGGAGTTGAATTAATGTGCTGTGTCCACAACCACACACAAACACAAATATCCATACACTGCAGAAATACCATTAGGTATTGCAGGCATTTATACATCAGTGGTGGTTCTTACAATGTTTTCATTTGATCCAGTGCAGTGTTTTACTTTTCAAAGAAATCAAAGCCAGTCCTGTGTCTTAAAAAAAAAAAAGCCAAGCACATATTAATTATTCGTCCATCCACAGGGTGCTCTTCTCATGCTTATCTTATCCATCCTTGGATGTGACTTCTGCATTTCTCCCATTGTCTCTGTTCCAGACACTGAAGGCCAGAAAGAGACTTTGCAAGTGAATCAATGCTTTAAAGAAAAGGCACTACCTGCTGAAGGAGCACTTGCAGGGACTGAAGCAAGCTATCACACCATCAGCTATTCCCTACTGGCCTTCAGATCAAGCACAATAAGAGGAGGTCACATGCAGGGCAAAGGTCATGAGGTCATGTGACATGCCATGCAGCACTTTAGCCTCCTTCTTCATCGTCGCAGTGTGACAGCGACTACAGATGAGGACGTATCAGTGCAACACTCTGAATTATAACATGTGCACTGCTCTCAAATTCCACTGTGCAGAATGTTCACTTCATTAAATATAACTTTACATATGCGCTGTACAACATCTTCCTTTTAAACGCACTATGGGAACTGCCTTAATGTAATAGATTACATAGCATTTTTCTGGTACAAGTTTCTGGGTTGGAAAAAAATATACATGGAGTAGTAGAAATTTACTGTAGACAATGCCCCCTATTTGAATAGATAATATGACAACCATCAACACAAACAAATATAGTTCAGACAATAACTGCATAGTCCATATCAGATTCCTGGTAAAATGCAATAGTTGTTAATATTAAAGTGTTGATTAATATATGGATTTATGGAACTGTCATGAACTGTTAAAGTTATGGCTGAGCTGGTTACTTCCTAAATGTCGCTCAGGGTATAATTAGCTAAGGTTTTCCAAGCTTCTCCATAAGACGTCCGTGTGAAAACATAAACGTCTTTAATGAGTTTTACGTTTCATTTATGGAGCTGGGTATACATGTTTGATCATAAAGCCATGCAGTGTTGGGACAGCCCTGTAAGAGTGATGTAGGGATTGAGGGGGCTTGAGTAGTCAGTGCATCAACCCGCACTGTTCTGTTAAGACCGACTGGCTACACAAAAGAGTTCAAGGAGTTCATGGCTTTTATAGGGGATGGGGCCTCCGAGCTCTCATGGCCCTCAGCAGTGTCCCTACTGGCACTCTTTCCACTATACTGCCCGATAAAGGAGCCATCCTCGTTGAACTGTCCGTCTCCTCCTTCACCGTAGTCAACTAAACTGTCGTCACTGTCGTCTCTCTTAACTGTCCCATTAGATGGCGAGCGGCTCCCTTTTAAAGGTTTATGGTCCTCATTGTCACTGAAGGAGAAAATAACATGCAGGCATTACAGGTGAGATGATGTGACAGATGCAATAAGGAGAATAGTGATCACTTTTTTTTTTTTAGATGGAGCATAGAAGAGCCAATTTGTTGCTTTTACCACAACCTACCCCTTAAGTTCGGTAGATAATGGCAAAGTTGTTATATGAATATTAATATGCAGCAATGAATATAAAATACATTTCAATGCACATTCGGGTTGCTCCATGTCTAAAAAATGTTAGCCATGAATGATTAGCTGGTTTCCATCAGGCAACGGGGGAATAAAGCTCAAGCAATCATACCCTTTTCAAATTCCCCCTGAAACCAAATATGAAGTGGTAAATGTGCTGTTTGACAAAAGCATTTTTCTCCCAAGGCAGAGACTGTGATGAAAAACAGAAAATCCAATGAAATGACGTGAATAAAGGAAAGTTTAAGCCAAGTATCCCTGCCCCCAAAGCAAGCACGACGATAAATCACAAGTTGGCAAAAATGCATGGAAAGTCCGCAAAGAAAGTTTTCTTTGGGTATCAGATAGTTGAGAACATTGCATATACACGACTTGAACACCAATGAGATCGCAAAGCCGTCACAATGCTGAGATGCTCCAAAATGGAAAGACAATAAATGGTATGCAAAAGCATTTAGGGGATATGACGGGAATAGAATAGCCACAGATTGCTGACGGCTTGTTTTTTGTAGCACTGCACATAATGAAGGCTTTGTGACAAAATATTATACACGATGACAGCTGTGAAAGATAGCAAGCATTTTTCTCCGCAGTGACTTCATTACCCACCGACCCTTTAAACATGCTACACTTACAAAACCCTTCACCGCCGCCAATCCCCATCATTGCCCTTACCTTTCCTGAGACCTACACCCCCTGCGTTAGGATGACGACGTCACTCTGAGATCAAACACATTCCTACATTTTACATTTCTGTAAGTCTGGCACTTTAACAGGCAAATGTGCTTTGTACAAGTACAGATTGATCTAAAAAATACAGTATACTCTCCAGCAGTCAAACAAGAACAGCTCAGTTGACTTAAGTAATGCCTTTATTGACATACTGTAAGGTTCCAGCTCAGTTTAATGAAACAGCATGGATATAAAGAATACTCTCACAAAGGCACTATAATATTTATACACTTTGCCTTGTGATTTGTCTACTGTCTTTTTACAGCCAATATCCATTGGAGAGATTATCTCGTGGTGTAAATACTACAGACTGGTGGTATTCTAGATTTAAAAATATATCAACACTTTTCTGTGTATTTTCTGTGTAACATATTTATCTGTGCCAAACACTTCCAGTGCTGTCTAAAAACCAATAACAACTCATTCGTGAGCCACATTGTTACAATGGGCAAAAAGCTCCTTAATTATGATGAACATGAACTCTATTATTAAGCTGATTCCCACATATTCTATCCTGATTCGGTGCAGACTTACAAGCACAACAAACTGGCTATTGAAAATAGGCACCCCAAAAAATACACTGTCTTTGAGATACTATTCCTTGTAAACTACAGTAGCCAGCTATTTTAAGAAGCTCTTTAAAGTTAAAGTAACCTGTTTTTAGAAATTTAAGTCTTCACTGGAAATGTAAGAGTTGGAATGGAGAGCTATAGATAAGCGGGAGGATTGGGCAGTAGTGCGAGACAGACGACTATTCTGTTGATCTTTTCCCAGAAAAATAAAATCTAGAATAACACCAATCATAAATGATTTCTACTAAAGAATGGCTATTGGCCTGTTGTAAATAGCATTAACCAGCTCTGTCCTCTCAGTGTTGATTGCTTCCCTCAAGCGTGCTGACAATTTCATAACATACCCATATGCATCTATATACTGTATATCTATATCTATCTATCTCTATATATATAAACAATACTTCCATTCAACACATTATTGCCTACAGCAAAATTTCATACATAATATCAAATCTTAAAACCATGCATATCACATTTTTATATATAATTAATGATATGTATTTATCGCACATCTTCTGTCTCACATAAAATCCATAGAACAGATTCATGTATACATAATACAAAAGGAATATAAAATATAAAAGCAAGACCATCTTAGAAATTCACTTATAAAAAAAAAAGAATATTCAAAAATGCTAGTTTTACAGAAGTAAAGTGCTTCATTGTTCTGTATTCTGCATGTGATTGAAGAAGCAGCCTAGAAAAAGGATGCTGACAAGCATAGCTGGATAACTGAAGTGACAGTTAACAGGACTGACCATTTCAGAGATTTTCAATCCTATCAGGGTCATGTACTATAAGTAGCAATACACTAGGCAAAGTGTTAATACTAATATATACATATACATATATATATATATCTATATATCTATATATATATATATATATATACTATACATACAATGTATATGATTAGCTTATTAGTTGAAAAGTTAGGGATGTGTTGCAAATGAAAGTAGCTTATACTGTTTATTCCTGACAGTCTTATTTGTAATGTTAAAACACCCTAAACCACGAATCCCCTGAACCTGAAGAATCCTGCACACATATCAAGCACACATAAAGTCCAACACAAACAGCATCCAGGGTGTCCCAGAACCCAGAAACAAAATCTTGTACTTCACGGTGGTAGAAGATCAGACTGGGTTACTTCCTCTTGTTGTTTTGACTTTAGTTAATGGTGATTCTGGATGACTTTTTTTATTAGTTTTAAGGGTTGAGAAGTAGGAGGGCGAGCAGAGCTCCAGCACAGAGTGTGGATTTAGGAAAGAAAGTGGGAACACGGGGCAAGTGGTTGATGGGTACAATCTGCTCTGGGGACTCCAAAGGCTGGGGCACTTTCTCTCACCTGTATTCCACAAAAGTACAGTCGTCATCTTTCATGGGCTGGAACTCAGGGTCTGTGTGGGCATCCTCCTTCTCTTTGACTGGTGAGATACAGGAAGTGATTTAGTCAAACTGGTTTTTAAAGAATTGTGAGAAACAACATGTTTCTTAAGCGATATGACGAAGACAGTCGTTCAGCATCACCCATGAAATTCAAAAACCGTACCCGAACTTAAATTTGGCCGACCTCAACTTCGAGCTCAGTCTTTGTGTACCTGTAGACTGTTTCTCCTTGTCCAGATGCTTTTTTTTTTTGTTTCTTTACTGGAAAGTCTGTTCTGACCAACACATTTTAATTTAAAATTTTGAGGGAGTTGACTGAATTGATTGTTGAATTGATATGGACAAAAGAGCTTGCTTGCATACTCCACAGTTCACATCTGAATGTTCTCTGAGATGTTACACAAGAAATATGTGTTGACAGTCTGACTTGGGAGTGAATTGATGCCTAAACTACTCCACCCATCTGACCCCTATATAAGAGCCGAATAAAAATGACAGGCATGCTCCTGGTTGCGCTCCTAATCTGATGCCCTACCTTTGGGCTGTGGACACTGTGCAGTCTTTCACTCAGAAACCCCAGTGCAGTCCCTGCTCTTAACAAGAGAGCAACATCACTGTGACATAGAAATTCATGTTTTCAGTTCAAGTTTGTGGTTATGTGCAAATGGTCAGAACAGGACTTCTGCATCTAAAACACCAGGAACACTAGGAGAGGTGAATTGAAGGGGAAATGGGCCAAATAGAAATAAGGTATGGTTTTCACTCTTTATAGTTGGACTCACAAAACCTGACTGTAATTTATGGGTTCATTAAAACTGATTAATGTGTGAATCTGACAACAGTGAATAAACCCTGTCAATACAAAAAACCTATTCTCCATTAATGTGAGATGTATACTTCTTTAATGAATGGTTTGATCCAAACTATGTAGCAGTTTGTAACTGTGCATTTTAAAAAGTTCTGCTCTAATAAAGTTGTTATTATAGAAACAACTGTCTTTTTTTGTGGTGATTGTGCCATTACTCACCAGGGTACTTCCCTCCTTTATTTCTCTGGATGAAGCAGATAATGAGAAGGATCAGGATGAGCAGAGCAATTGCACACATGAGGCCAATGAACCATCCCTGAGTGGCGATGTCCACCTGTCTGCTTGCCACAGCTGTCCAGAGAAGGGGAGAAAGACTTAACATTTACACTTGCACTATTTTAACATCTCATCCCCAGTAGCGAGGGAAAACAGCAAAAATTATCCACAATATGTGCTAAAACAAACATGGAAGATCAAGTCAGCGTTTGAGCAGATATCCCAT